TATATATATATATATATATATATATATATATATAATATACACAAGCCATGTATAAATATATTTAAATAGGCATGCACAGTTTAGTTCAATTGAATGTGTTATTTATAACAATAGTAGTTTTTTTTTCTTTTATAAACATAACTATTTATAATGCTCCCTAAATAATAAAAAAATAAATTACAGTGAAAGCAATGAAGATTTTCTAGGTTTTGAACCAAACTAAATAACAGTAAACCTTTTTTTGATTTAGGTATTTTCGTATTTTGATGTTTTGAACTCCTTTGTGTTTAGAACAATATATACTTATTTTTAAAGTATCAAATTGAATTTTTGTTCAATAAAATTCTTTCAAATGTGACTGGAGCTTTTTTCCCCCAAAACTTTGTCTTCAAAATAAGGGTGCGTCTTATATTCCGAAAAATACAGTAACTATTTAAAGAAATTCCATTTATGTCATAAATGCAGATAAAGAAGTTAAGCTCTAAAACAAAGCAATTCCATTGACTGTGTTTAAATTTCAAAAAATCATAGACTTCAAGGTAAAATGATAACAGGCAATATTGTTACATAAAGCATATCACTTTGTAGAAGACTGTTCTCTTATTATATGATTATAAGTCTTGATTTTAAAATGCTTAAGAAATTTTAGTTTTATGATGAGGAACTCCTGAAATCTAAACAATACAAGTATGAAAATTAAAAAGCTATATATAGAACTTAAGGCAATTATAACTTGGAAAGATTTAAAATGCTTTGTATAAATTGTTTTGTTGTTTGATCTAAAAAAAGAAAGCAAGCTGTCATCATTTCGAAATATTCGACCAAAAATAAATAGGGCTGAAGGGATATGTAGATTTAAGAAATAGGCAAAGAGAAAGCAATAGTAATTGGATATTTTTGTGCTTGGAACCACTAAGTAAATATCAAACTTGTATGAATTTTGCAAATAACTTGAATACATCCTGTAAATGCATCTAGAACATTCAGATAGCTGAAACTAACTACACCAGGGATAATAAGGTATACTTTGGTATGTACTGTGATCTAGTTTTTAGTCATACCATTTTGTATGTTTTTATTGTAGTCGTTTGAAGTGTTCTATAAATATTCAATGCTTTGAAAGAAATTTTATAGCATTAAAAGTAAAAATCATAATTCTTCTTTTGAAAGTAAATTTTTCTTTCTAGATGTATAACTATGTCACTGACTTTGGGTATGTGTTAGTTAAACGAGTCATTTCATTTATATCTATCATTATTGATATCCCCTTTAATGTATAACTATGTCACTGACTTTGGGTATGTGTTAGTTAAATGAGTCATTTCATTTATATCTAGCATTATTGATATCCCCTTTAATGTATAACTATGTCACTGACTTTAGGTATTTGTTAGTTAAATGAGTCATTTCATTTATATCTAGCATTATTGATATCCCCTTTAATGCCCGAGTTAAAAAATGCTATTCAAGAAGCTGAAGCTTTGGTTCAAAGAGTAGGAATACATGTGAAATCAGGAGATCCAAATGAAAGCATCACAACTTCTCTTGATAGGTAAGGTTTCCATTTAAATTTCTATAAAAACTTACAGCATACATTTGAACATATATATTTTTATTTTAATGAAGTTAAAAATAGATATTTTGGACTTTTTGTGATAAAATCGTGTAAATTAACTTTCTCATATATAATCCTTTTTAAAAAATCTCATTGTTTCACTTTTTTTTCCCCAGGGCTTATACCCAGTCATCTATGGATATTTTGAAGATTGTTAAAGAAAAGCTTCAGATACTTTGATAAAAGTGTTCTAAAACTTGAACTTTTCTTCTACTGAAGAATATATAATGTTCTGCTATATATGTGTAGTAAATAAACTTGTAGTTCTATACTAAACATTTAGTGAAGCTAAATAACTTTTTTCATTCTGTTGCTTAATTGTAAATATAACCACAACACTAACCGTGATTGTAAATAAAGAAATTGAACGTTTCTTAAATGTTGAGAGTTTTCTTGATTTCTGAGGAAATTTACTTTCATCTACTAGCCCATTTGTTCTTTAGTTTCAGATTTGATTTGAAAGTAACATTTCAAAAGGTTCAGTGACAGCTCGGCTTTTATGTAAACAGAATAACAAAGAACTTATAAGTTTTTTTAATGGAGTATTAATCAGAAAAGTTATCATTATATTGTTATATATTAAAATATAACTTAAACATATAGTAGTTTTCTGTTTGATGGCAGCATCGAGGTCTCATCCCGATACCTTCCGTTTACGTGGCCAAGGGTCTGTCAAATGTAGTTAGTGATGTAGTTTCCCTTGTAAAAACTTATGTTCAATCTATGCTAAATGTACGAGTTGTTCTCACATTTGGCATCATTTGCATATTATGTAATAGTTATGTAACCCCCAGGTGGCATCCTTTGATCTCCTCTCACCTGGCATTCCCCACTTAGGTGCCATGCTTTGGGTGCCCAAGGAGAGTTCTAACTGCAATTATAGTTTACCAGTGAGAGACCAAGTTTTATTTTTTTAATTCAGTAGTAATATATTTTTTTGTTGGTTTGCTTTTGAATTTTGTGCAAAGATACACGAGGGCTATCTGTGCTAGCCGTCCCTATTTTAGCAGTGAAAGACTAGAGGGAAGGCAGCTAGTCATCACCACCAACTGCAAACTCTTTGACCATCACATTATAACTCCCCCACGGGTGAAAGGGCAAGCATTTTTGGTAGGACGGAGTTTTGAACCCGCACATTGCGAGTCAAGCGCCCTAACCACCTGGCAAGAAACTAAATTTCAATTTACAAGAAATCTGTAGTACAAAACATATACCAATTCACCATCAAAAGAACGATTTTATTGATGATCACAAAACTATTTGAAGAGTGGATAACATTCTCTCATTCCTACTAGACACCACTGGCACCTTAATACAAGAACTTAGCATTTGTATGACTGTAACCTAAAGGAGAATCATGTGATAACATGTTCTGATTTTATCTTATTTCTGAAATTTACTAATTTTCGTAGACCTTATAGCTATTTCATTTATGTTCAAGATGTTTAAACTAAATCTCTTTTATTATGCTATATGGTAGGAATAATTATAATTTAATTATAGTAAGCATTGTCTTTGACCAGCGGTTTCTGGAGATAATTTTAATCACATTGGTGAATGTCTGACTTGGTTTTTACATGAATTTATGTGAGCACTCTATAAACTGATTTCATGTAAAAGGATAGATATGTCTTTTGTTTTAGACCAAAACTTTTATCATAAGAAGCAAAAAAATTGAAATAGTTTTTGTTCTTAAAAGCTTCAAAAGTAGATTGTATGCATATTATTTGTGAAAAATCGTAGATAAAGTCGTCTTTTTCTAACTTGAAGTTTTGTTAATAAATGTTTCAGTATGTGTGATACTAGATAAGTCTGTGATTTTACTTACATATATTGATGATAACATAATAGGCAATGGTGAAACACGTCAGTTTTAAGCAATATTGGATGGGTCTAATGGCCGGAATTCCAGCATGATAGAGATAGTCCAAATAGTTGCCCCCCCAGTGGCATAGTATTATGTCTGCAGACTTACAATGCTAGAAACCAGTTTCGATACCAGTGGTGGGTAGAGCACAGATAGCCCTTTGTGTAGCTTTGTGCTTAACTTCAAATAAACAAACCAATTAGTTATGGCCTTCAAGTGCATGAAGAGCTTCTAAAATGAAGAAATGTTCTATGATCGTATTAACTCGAATCATTTTGGGGAATGTCCCTCATATGTTGCTTAGAAGATTTGTTCTATTTGATAAATAACATGCTTGAACAAGTATATACTGCAAGTATTATTACATTGGGCTATATGCCAGTATTTTATAAACTCAAAATGTTTGTAGTTCCGTAAATAGTATATTAGTATATCTAATTATTGTAGTTTTGTTAATAAAGGTTTCAGTATACATGATACTTGTTAATTAAATCTGTGATTTAACTTACATATATATATTAATGATAACTTACTGAGCTATGACAAAATATAAGTTTCATATAAGAAATATTAATGAAAACTTGTATTAGTTGTTCAAAGATCCTTGTTAGAAACTGATATTCATGATGTGTAATTTATCATAAAAGACTAAGCTAGACATGTATAGGTCAGTATATTATAAATTGTTTGTAGTTTTTGTAAATGGTGTATTAGTGTATCAGATGTTTCAACATGTGCGATACTTAATTCTACTATTTTACTTACATATATTAGTGATAGTATAGTATATTGATGCTATAATGAAACATGAGTTTTTATATAAGAAATATAAATGGAGACTTGTATTAGATTTCAAACATACTTGCTAGAAACTGATATTATGGAATGTAATATATCATAAAAGATTAAGCTAGATATATAATTATCTGAAATTTGATGTTTAGTCTGAATTCTGATTTATAACTGAGGATTTGTATAATTTTTAAGTGAAAAGGCAATTCATCTTACTGAAACATTGTTTCAATATCTATGTGAGGAAAATAGCCATATCAAAATGTAAAATTGTTGATAAACTAGTTTTTCTGAGCCTAAAAACTGAAATCTCTCATATTTAGTTTGCATTGGACATGTAGTGTGAACAAATAACATTGCTGGTGTCATAAAATAATTATGTTTGACTATAATACACGTGTTTGAATCCTTTATTCTTTTAATTATGTAGTGACATGTCTTTAGTACAATGTATTAAAATGTCTCGTGAAAAATTTTTTTCTTATAATGTTAAACAAATGAAAAATATAAACTATAACCAAAAAAGTAATATTAACATAATGTACAAAAGTTGCGTGAAAACTAATCCAATATTTTATAAGCTAAGATGTTTATATTATTAGGTTATCAAGAAATTAATGTAGCGCTTCGGAACACTTTCATTAACCACTCCCTCATAAAAGGTACATCACGTATAATAGTAAAACGAACTGCCTAAACACGTTAGTGTAGCCTATATAATGTGTAAAGTTTAGTATACTCTAATCCCTTATAGTGATGACACACGATGAGACACACATTTGGCATGTAATGCTGTTTGAATACAAGAAGGGAAGTAAAGCCTCTGTAGCCACAAAGAATATCAAAGAAGTTTATGGAAATGTTTTGAACGTTCATAAGTGTCAACCATGGTTCAGCAAATTTTGTTCAGGTGACTTTTGCCTTAAAAACTGTGATGGCACGGACTGATATATTGATATTGATGCTCTGAAGATACTTGTTGGGTCTAACCCAAGGCAACACACTCGTGGAATGGCCCTGAAATTGCATGTCTCTCATGAAACAATACGTAAACAGCTAAGGAATATGGGAAACTTTTTAAAGAAGGTGTTTGGGTGCCTCACGAACTCTCTGATGATCATCATTTCCAACGTATGAACGTTGCTTCTTCTCTTCTGGCACGTAATGTACGTGAAATATTTTTGAACAGAATTGGTGATGAAAAATGGATTCTCTATGCGAATATAAAACCCCAAAAATAATGGCTCAGTCCTAGACAAAAAACCTGGACTCCATCTGCAGAAAGTGATGCTTTGCATTTGGTGGCACATCAAAGAAGTAATTCAATTTGAACTCTTCAATTTACAGTGTACTGTCAATGCAGAAATCTTTAGTTAGCAACTGGAATGTCTAAATCAAGTCCATCATCAGAAACACCATTCACTCGTCAATCGGAAAGGTGATCTTCTCCACGACAATGCACGTTCACATGTGGTACGTTTGATGCAACACAAGATTATGAATGTGGGTAGGGAAGTTCTCCCCCACCCACCATATTCTCCAGATATGGCACCATCAGATTATCATCTTTCTCGTTTGCTGCAACACCATCTTAATGGGAAAACGTATGCAAATGTGGGAGGTGTTAAAGAGATCATCGACATGTTTTTTGCTTCAAAGCCAAGTGATTTCTTTAATCAGGGCATTAGCAATCTGACTGTAAGATGGAAAAGCATCATCGATAATAATGGAGACAATTTCAATTAATAAATGTTTTGTTTTGATATGTAAATTGTTCGGGTTTTTTCATCTAAAAAAATAGTGACATTAATTTCTTGACGACCTAATATATTAGTGTATCTTGGAGTTTTGTTAATAAATGTTTCAGCATGTTTGTCAAGTCCATGATTTTACATTATTGTTGTAAAGTATATTCTGTAATGGTAAAAAGTAGTTATATTGGTTTGTTTTTAATTTTGCACAGACTACATGAGGGCTATTTGTATTAGTCATCCCTAATTTAGTAGTGAAAAACTAGAGGGAAGGCAGCTGGTCATTACCACCCAACACCCTCTTGGGCTACTCTTTTACCAAATAGTGGGATTGACAATCATTTTATAATGCCCACTCAGCTGAAAGGGCAAGCATGTTTGATGGGATGGGGATTCCAAACCACAGATTGCAAGTCGAGGTACCTAACCACCTGGCCATAAATATGTTGGATTTATAAAACATGAAAGGATAATCACTTGATTTATAACTAAATGTCCTTTTAAGATTACGGTTGCCAACTCTTTTCAGATATATCAACGTTCATTTATGAAAAACGTGTTAAATGTTTTGGTGAACTATTCAGATTAAATGTTATACTGCAAAAGAATTTGGGATTTGTCAACAACTATTTAATATATATGTTTGGATAATCATTAACCGATATGACTTTAATCTCGTACATTTTATTACAAACCACAAATAATATATTTTGCCAAAAAGGCATATGTCTATGTGTTGCAAAAATTTCTAGTTCCAGACCTTTCAATGCTATTGACTGTTTATTATACCAATGTTATTGGTTATTTGGCTACGTGGCGACCTCCCCTGTCCTTTGTATTTTATAAAAAATCTGTTTAATAACGTCATTTGAGTTGGACCTCTTAGATAGTGTTAGTTAGAAAACTGTGCAAGATAATCATTGTAGACGTTTTGATTAAAGAATAATAAAGGTTCGTTTATCAGCTTTACTCTAAAATCACGTTTTATGAATCTTAACAGTATAGTATGTTTTATACTTCAAGTGAATGTTCTATGGAAAATGGTAAATGTTGCTATTGTATATAGTTTTATTTAAAGTAAAGTGATTGGTTAAACAGTAAGTCATTCATTAATTATATTTAGTTGTAGTAAAATGGTTAAGTTAATAACCTTGAGATGGAAAAGGAAAGAACATCTATATGCAATTAGTTTCAGTCAGTAAGAAACAAGCTCTCAAAATATCTACAGAAAGGTAATATTATATTTTTCTACAATAGTAATGGTTAAATATAACTATTTACACAGATTTATTAAATCTATACTTTAACTAAATACATCAACTTATAAAGATAAACATGAAGCTATTGTATATATTATTTAGATATTTAAATAAGCATCCTCTTCAGGGAGAACAAATGTTATGCAGTATATTAATTATATAAATTAATTTGCAATAAGCATTTTACATATAAAATATCAGGAAATACAAAAAGTATGTCATGCAAGTTAGATATAGAAGTGAAAAGTATAATCAGTACGTTAAATGTGTACTAAATAGATACTTAAAACACAATCGGCT